AAACTACCAATACCTCAACACCCTTAAAAATAAAGTTTTTTTAAAAATAGTTCACGAGAAAGAATATTGAAACTAGTGTTACTACCTACTCTTGCTATGGCCAAACTAAGCTACTTTCAGACCCTTAAAATTCACCCTCCTAACTTTGCTTGTGCTGTTCCTTATTTCTAAAATGCTCTCCCTCTTCCAGTTTGACTTCTGAGTTCCTACCTGTTCTTTAAAGCTCAACCAAAGCCATCTCCTTCAAAAGACATCTCCATTCTCTTTGTTGGAGAGTATAGAGAACTCCAACTTATCCTGACCACCATTGTTCATTCAGGGCTTTGTTTTGTAATTATTGATGAATTTGTGTATGTAAATTATTATACTTATATGTAGGAGTGTGGGTCACTCAAATCAGTCAGAAGTATGAACTAAAAGCCAAGGTCTCCATTAAATCAATCAATGAAAAACATTAGATATGAGAAGTCCTTGAAAGCCATTGGATGACATAGAGCAATGCTCCATAGAAGGTGTGTGAATATTGGCTGAGGAAATTTCATCATATCCTATGAGTCTTCCATAAAATAGTAAGCAAGTTCTGCACCCAAAATTCTAGCATCTGTTAGCAATGATGAAAGAATAGTCTAGTCAAGCCCCTGAGAGGGAATTACTTGGAGTAATTGCTTGGAGGGGGGAAGGAAGGAGAAAGCTTCCATCTCCTTCCAGCCTTTTTGACCCTAGGAAGACCTTGTAAATTTTCAGTGGTTGGGTATTTAGAGTTCTCACTGGAATCCTAGCAGTAGCCCCAGAAATGTCAGCATTGTCTGCTTTGGGAGTTGAAGACAATTTAGTCACACTGAGGAAAAGCAGCTTCAGGATTCTACAAGGAAATGTGCAGAAAACTACATCACTCCTAAAGAGAGCTTCTTGAGGACTTCTGCAAAAAATTGCCAGAACAGTGAGTTCTTCCCTTTGCCACATGTGCTATAACAATGAGTCTACTTTACCCATGGTCTCTGTATCTACTAATGCAAGACTGTGTCAAAGACTTTTGGGGTAATGTTTATACCAACCACTTTAGTAAATACTCCCAACTAAAAGCTAATTAAATCTGACTAGCTAATTGATAATAGCTAATGATCATACTCCCCTCCTAGCAGTAAGCATACTAGTAGGGGCTCATAAGTTATCCTATAAGAAAAAATACTCCCCAATCCTCTAGGTTACCTTTAAAACTTATAGGGAAATGTAATGCCAATGTGAGTGGGAGTTGGTAGAATGAGCCCAGAGCCTGTGCTCATTATATACTTGTATCTTGTCATCCTACTAGATTGCAAACACCATTAAGGCATGGACTGTGTATTATCTAATACCCCAGAGCTTAGCATAGTACTCCTTTACACACTATAGATACTTAATGACATATTTGCTGACTGAATTCTTAAGAAGCATTGAGAAAGTTTATTTTGTGTTTATATAGACTGTAGGTCTGTTCTAGTTCTTTCTGTTTCCTCTTTACTATGGACCCAAGTCATCTAACTCTACTCTCTTATCTAGGTCCTTAGAATAACTTTGACACAACTTGGTTTTGGCTGTAGGAATGTTAAAGAGAGGTAGGGGTATCTTCCCAGGGGTGTGCGCTCTCTCTCTCTCTCTCTCTCTCTCTCTCTCTCTCTCTCTCTTCTCTTCCTCTCTCTCTCTCTCTCTCTCTCTCTCTCTCTCTCTTCCCCCTGCGCCCCATCTCTCTGTCTCTCTCTTTCATTGGTGGTGAGGAACTCTTATTGATGCACATTGGTAACTCCTCTGTAACTTATTAGACCTTTAGAGCGGCCTGGGTTACTCTGAGGTTAAGTGAAGTATTCATGGTGACACAGCTAGCATGTGTTGGAAAAAGAACCTGAACCCAGGTTTTTCTATCTTCAAGGATTTCCCTCTAGCCACTATGCCATCATGCTTCTCTATATTCTTTCTCAGCTGTTACCTAGACCTAGATCCAGAGCCACAGCAATACTGGGGTCCTCTTGGCCTCTTATTCCTGGGGTGGGGTGGTGGTGGTCCAAAGCCTATAAAAAGGTTCTTTCAAGGGAATATAAGATTGGAAGGTGGTCTTTCTTTCCTATTCTCATTCCTAGATAAATCCATTACCATCTTTCCTCCTGTTCTTCAGGTTCTAGTCCCTTTCTCCTGCCCATTTCCACCCTTAGAATAAGTGATGTGTACTAGCAAAATGACTGTCTGCTGAGACTTTACAAATAGCTGAGGAAAGAAGGAAAACAAAATGGAAAGGAGAAAGAGAAAGATAGACCCAATTGAATTCAGTATTCCAGAGAATAGCAAGGAGAGATAAGATTTTCTTAAATGAGCAATGGAAAGATATAGAAGAAAACAATAGATTGGGAAAGACAAGAGATCTCTTCAAGAAAATTAGAGATATCAAGGATAAAAGATGGCAAAAGACAAAAATGGTAGAGATTTAAAAGATTCAGAAGAGAGTAAAAAGAGGTGGCAAGAATACACAAAAGAACTATACAAGAAAGATCTTAACAACATCGATAACTGTGGTTACTGATCTGGAGCCAAACATCCTTGGAGAATGAAGTCAAATGGGCATTAGGAAGCATTGCTAAACAATAGGGATAGTGGAGGTGATGGAATTCCAGCTGAGCTATTTAAAATCCTAAAAGATGATGCTGTTAAAGTGCTATACTCAACATGCCAGCAAATTTGGAAAACACAACAGTGGCCATTGGCCTGGAAAAGATCAGTTTACATCCCAATCCTAAAGAAGGGCAATGCCAATGAAGTTCAGGTTACTGAAAAATTGCACTCATTTCACACTCCATCAAGGTTATACTTAAGATTCTGCAAGCTAGGCTTCAGCAATATGTGAACCAAGAATTACCAGAAGAGCAGGTTGGTTTTTGAGGAGGCAGAGGAACTGGAGACCAAATTGCTAACATTCACTGGATTATGGAGAAAGCATGGGAGTTCCAAAAAATCATCTACTTCTGCTTCTTTCGCTGCACTAAAGCTTTTGACTATGTGGATCACAACAAAATGTGTCAAGTCCTCAAAGAGATGTGAGTACCAGATCATCTTACTTGTCTCTCGAGCACCTGTATGTGGGCCAAGAAGCAACAGTTAGAACCAAACATGGAACAACTGATTGGTTTAAGATTGGAAAAGGAGTACGACAAGGCTGTATATTGTCACCTTATTTATTTAACTTACATGCAGAGTATATCATGTGGAATGCAAGACTGGATGAATCAAAAGCTGGAATTAAGGTTGCTATGAGAAATATCAACGATGTCAGATACGCAAATGATACCACTCTGATGGCAGAAAGTGAAGAATTAAGAAGCCTCTTGATGAGGGTGAAAGAGGAGAATGTAAAAGCTGGCTTGAAGCTTAACATAAAAAAATAAAGATCTTCGCAACTGGTCCCTTCACTTCCTGGCAAATAGAGGGAGAAGAAATGGAAATGGTGTCAGATTTTATATATTTGGGCTCAAAGATCACTATAGATGCTGACTGCAGCCATGACATTAAAAGATACTTGCTCCTTGGAAGGAAAGCTATCACAAATCTGGACAGCATAATAAAAAGCAGAGACATCACCTTGGCCAACAAAGGTCCATATAGTCAAAGCTATGGCTTTTCCAGTAACAATGTATTTCTGTGAGAGTTGGACTATAAGGAAAGCTGAGCACCACAGAATCAATGTTTTTGAATTGTGGTGCTGGAGAAGACTTTCGAGAGTTTCTTGGACAGTAAAGGAGGTCAAATCAGTCAATATTTAAAGAAATTAATCCAGACTATTGACTAGAAGGTCAAATAATGAAGCTGAAGCTTAAATTCTTTGGCCACATAATAAGAAGTCAGGACTTATTGCAGAAGACCCTGATGTTGGGAAAGATTAAAGGCAAAAGAAAAGGGGCAGCAGAAGATAAGATGGATAGTGTTATGATAACAAAGCATATGAACTTGGACAGACTTCTAGAGATAATGGAGAATAGAAGGGCCTGCTATTCTGTGGTCCATGGGGTCACTAAGAGTAGGATAAGACTGAACGACTTCACAACAACTAGCTAAAAATCAGCTCAAAGCTCTAATTTCAACTTACAGGGCCCTCACTGCCTTTTGGTAAAGGGGTGCAAGAAGTATCTCACTTGTCTCACCTACATCTGCTCTCAAGGGTAGACATCTCCCCTAGGCCTTTCCCAAATCCCAAAGGTGGCCTCTGTGTTTATTTCACACACAAATGCTTCACCACTGAGGAGGCCCCATTTTCACCTCAACCCCAATTTTTATCAAGGGATTGTCCAACTCTCTTCTCTAACTTTCCCACTGAGCCAAATAGGCTTTTGTGGAGGTCTGGCAAGGAAGTAAAGCTCTCCACAGTGATGGGCTGGCTTTTATCCAATGCATCTACTCTAAGCCAGCAATGCTTTTGAACCAAGATTCCAGCCATTAAGAGGAGGATGGAGATAAGGACCTTCTAGGGCTGGAACAGGACCATAGTTCTGCAGGTAGGGCAGGCCTGTGGGAACAGGATACTTTCCAGGGGAAGCTCTCAGCCCTTTTGTCTTCATGTTTTTGAGGTCGTTGGCAAAAAGAAATGTCTACTCCAAGATCTGTGGGGATTTCCCACTTGGTAAACAGGAGTGGAATTGGAACAGTTCTGCCGAAGGGCAGCTTCCTTCTTTTGAAGCTCCATCTGACAATCACTCAGCTTACCCTTTCTCCTTCCCCATGTTTCCCTCCCATTAACCAGAAGGTGGAGTGTGCAGGAGGAGGGAGGCCTTCCTTCCAGTTCTCTCTCTCTTCCCTCCCATTCTGTGCCACTGGAATTGAGCAAAGGCTGAAATTGCAGCACCCGCCCTGTGGGCTGCATCCTCTCAGCGGCTGTCACTGACCCCAGGCCTGGGCCTGAGCCCAGTGCATGTGCCGGAGGAGCTGGGGTAAGGGTGGGGAGTGTTGGTCTTGCTGACAAAATCTACTTGGAATTTCTCAAGGTTGTGGTTTGGGGTTTCAGTCTGCCCGGGAGTGTGTCTGAGAAAAGCAGAGAGAGCTAGAAAGAAAGGGAGAGGAATCTGAAAAAAGGAAGATAAGAAAGAGGCTATGATGTGCTTCCTGTGATTGACTGTGGGGTAAGTAGAGCACTATGGATCACACTGCTGATTATCAGAAATACCCAGAGAGTGAACTCCATTCATATCCACAGACCCCTTCCCAGCACAAGTCTTCAACCTCTCCAGATAATGATTGAGCTAAGAATGGAATGGGATCCAGAATGGACCCATTATTCTGACTATGTGATCTTAGACAATTTCCTCTTAACTTTTCTAGGTCTCACTATCCTCTTCTAGAAAATAATGGAGTTTAATTCAATTACTTTTTAGGTCACTTCCCTATTACCTGGGTTCTCAAACAATATCTCACCAGGGAATTCCTCAGAAATGTCCACCCCCCTATACTCTAGGAAGTCCCCTGACTTCCCAGGAGCTCTTAGCACTTCAGAGGCTCTCTGGTTAGTCTTTACAGCTGTGGTATAGGGGAAGAGAGACTGACATTTCTACCTTCAGTATCTAAGGAAATAATCTAAAAAGCCTAGGACTTCCATTCCTATGAATATGCAATTCATTTACATAACTGCATACATTTTACATACCCCTTTTCTTCATTGAGATTTGCTCTGATAATTATTTATTTTCAGTGAGATTAGGACAAGGATAGAAAAAGATTAGGAAAAAAGGAGGGCTGTACTTTCTCTTAATACCTGACTGGTTTTCTTAAAGGGAGATGAATTATTTTTACCATATTGTAAAAGAGAATTGATTAATGCAGGACCTATGGATATTTGTAAATGTCAATGGGAATCTTTTCTGTTTCTAGAATAAAGAATTCCCATTCTAAGCCTAGGGTATTCCCCTTTTCTGCTCCCTATAATTCTACCTGCCTCTCAAATTTTCTAATCTGGAAAAAAACAGAAAAGCTCCCTTTCTTTTAGGTCTAGGCTAGACTGAGACTTGGGTGACAGTCTGGAGCACATTCTAAGATCAATACCATAGCCTCTAGTTACGGCCAAGGAGAAAGTCTGAGTCAATAGTCCTAAATATTTAGGGCCCTGTACTTCATATAGGGTAGATAAAGCCAATGGCAGAACAAGGCATGACACTTTAACCTAACATACTCAGCAATCTTTTTCTTTTCCCAGGTAATGATATGGGTTCCTATCATAAGCTAGGAACCATGCCACTGAGGTTGGAAGAGGAATCATCCTGAAAAAAGGTAGGGACAGAAATCCTGGATATATGGATATTTCCATATCTGCAGCCACCAGCTCAGTGACTTGATTTTAATTTATTTTAGTTACAAAGAGGAACCAAGAACAAGTCTCAGCAAAATAAATTATCTGTTCCCTCCCCTTCTGCTGGGGAAGACAGAAGAGATCAGAAAGTCCTAGACCCACCCTTTCCAGAGAAGACCTCCTTTAGGATCCAGGGGAAAAGGAGGGAAGCTTAGCAAACTCAGGACTTTGAACTTTCTTAGGAGCTGTAACTGTTCCCAGTTCTTTAGACCCTTTCCAGAAATAGATCTCCTTCTGTTTTACTTTCTCCTATTACTTCATAAAAGGGGTCCAGAGAATGGTGAAAAAACTGGACACATGTGGATGGTTCTTCTGAGAATACAGGTCTTAATGGTGCTGCACAACTCCTGGGCACATTACATTGGAAGAAAAATGATAATCACCACCCACCCAAGTGTTAGGAATCATGGGTTTTTTCCATGGGCAGCAAGAGGGCAATCAAGTAGTTGGGGGACAACACAGTGCATTTTATCCTGGTCTAGTCCAGTGTGTGAAGGACATAGAGTAGGGTATGAAAAGGGAAGGAGCTTGAGATTTCTCTTCTCAATCCTCTAATTATAGAGGGGAAATCAGAAAGGACACATGGCTGACCCATCAAGCTTTCACTCCCTGAAATTATTTCTTGGGAGATACTGATGAATGAACTAAGCTGCAAAGGGCTAAAAAGAGCCCTGCCCTTCCCCCAGGTTCCATAGTGTGAATTAGGGTGGGAGATGGGAATGAGTGTCCCTTTCATTTGCAGACATTTACCCACTCAGTGACCCGGCATTCATCACAGAGAACATAACAGCACCAATGGAAACGGCAGTGGCATCGCTCAACACGGGTCTGACGGAGAACATTATGCCCTCGCCCACAGCACAAACTCCCACAACCATCCAGGAGGCGGCTAGTCTTGTTGCAGACACGTCCTTGGGTGCCTGGTGATCCCAGGGCTGGCTCCCAATCACAAAAGTCAGGAGATTTCTCAAAGTAGACGAGTTCACCCGAGAGACGTCGAGGGCGAAGCCGGGGCTGGAAGGCACCTGAGTTGCGGTTGTGGGCGTTGATGAAGACTGCCCGGTTTAATCGTTCCCTAAGTGCTGCCCCAACCACCCGGAACTCTGGTGCTGCTCTCCAACAGGTCTTGAACTGGCAGCTGCCTGATGTGCCATGGCACTTACATTTCTGTTTCAGATTCTCAGTCACCACCTGGAGCATGGGGGTGAGGGGTGGATGGTGTAGGGGGGGTGTTTTCAGGTGTTATCAGGAAAGGGTGATGAATGAGAAGGAAAGAAGAATTATCATGGAATTATGAAACTGTAAGATAATTTAAAGATCATCTAGTCTAACCCCTTCATTTATAGATGGATAAACTGAGGTAAACAAGTAAAATGATTCATCCAAAGTAACATAGCTAGTCAGATGAAGACAGGAATAGAACTTACTTCTCCCAACATCTTACCCTTTAAAACAGTACCTTGAATAATGAATATCTGATTGAGTGGAGGAGTTTAGATAAGAGTATCATTGAAGTCCTCTATGCCCCCCACCCCCCAAAAGTATAACTCATCTTCCAACCATTCCTTCAAACACCAAAAATTCTATGTAAAACAAACCTTGCAAACTGGGGAGGCTGCTATCCTGTGACTTCCCCACTGTGGGTTTGAGATATAGGGGCAATCTTCCATGGAGGTACCTTCCATGGAGGTATGACCCCCAACATGCCCTGTCCACACACACATATGCACAAACACACACTATCACACAAACAGTGTGGTACCTGTCTCCCCACCCGATTGTTGTGGATCCTCATTCGTGCCTGGATGTCTCGTGGAGCCTCTCTCAAATCCAGGAAATCCCGAGAGAATTTTTCCCCAAAGTCCAGGTCATGGTTGCAGCCACCCCATTCCCATGTATCCTGGGGACCAGGGATGGTGCCTGAATTGGGTCCAAGGCCAACTGGAGAGTTGGGAAAGCTTTTGCCACGGGACAGTGTCTGTAGCTGTAATAGTTTGGCTCTCAGCCGGTCCTGTTCTCCACTGCCTTTCCAGCCACAACCACAACTCACCAGTTTACCAAGGCTGCAAGCGGTGGCCACTGAGTGCATGACCCCAGCAGCTAGCATGGAGAAAGAGAAGGCAGTCTCTCGGAAACCTGGGAAGAAGAGACAAGGGCAGTAGGAATGAATAGATAAGAAGGAAGAGTGGAAGGAATATAGAACTACCCACCAGCATAAGTTAGAACCTTACTCAGATCATGTATCCTGACAGGGGCTAAACCTAGAAACATAGAGGGAAGGCATAGAGGAGCAAATGAACTTTGAAAATGTGTGCAAGACTCAACTGAAAGCATTTTTGAAAAGCAATGAGTAGAGGAAGTTTAATCCTTAAATGCCACCAGTACCAGTCCTCCCTCTTCCTACCATATACACATTCCCTAGTGAGCTGAAAGGATAGGAGAGCCCACTGGGGTTTTGCAAACAAAACAAAATCCAAAACCAAACAAAAACCCCTGCTACTCACATACATACACTTGACCCATAAATCATCACTCACCATTAACAAGACAGACTGCCCCTGAGGTTTTTACTTAATTACATGTGTATATATGTATTAATTCATGTATATATGCATTTTAACTTCTATAGATAAGTACAAGTCTTGAGGTTCAGCTTAACCTGATTTCAACTGTAAAAAGACATTAGAGAGGGAAAGGAACACAGAGTGATTTACCCTGTGCCACATACTGCCAGAGATGAAGTGTTGGGATCTATATCCCCAGAGATAGGGAATACTAAGGCAAGGAGGTTGGGCTGAAAGATAATTAGAGCTGCAGCCCTGTAACATGCTTAGGAAAACCTACTCTCAAATCTGATTCCAAGGCTCTGAGTTTCTTTTAGTGGGGTAGAACTATTGGTGCCACTCTTAATTTGGAGGAAGGGATGCCAGTACCTCCTTACAAAGTCCTGGTTCAACACCTGACTCCACCATCATCCCTTCCTCACCCCATGGGAAAATGGGTTGCTGGTCCCACCTCTCAATCCCCCCACCCCACAAAGGGTGAAGCTGTTCACACTTGTCTTGGGAATTCCCCGAAGAAGGCAGCTGTCTATTAACCCTTTCTTCCTCAGAGCATAGCCTCCATCCTCCTAAACTAAGCCCGATTTTCACACATTCAATGACTTAACTCAGGGTCAAAGAAGATGATGCCTCTTAGACCTGGCCACAGTGACCTATTCTCACCCCTCCCACTGTTCCTCACCTGCTCAGGTGAGTGCCACCTGGGGCTCTCACAACAGGGAGAGGAGGGGGATACTCCTTGGCTTCAAAGCCATCGGGGTCTTTGTTCCCAGCGACAGCTCCTGGGAACCCCAGCAATTAGGGGAGCAGGTTTAACCCTTAAACGGCTGGGGGCGTCTCCCCGCCTCCGCTGCGGCTGAGGAGGGCATGGCCCAGGCTTGTCAAAGAGTGGGAGGTGGAGAGAGCAATGGGGGAGGTAGGTGGGGGGGGCGTTTGAAGCTCTCAGAGCTGAGGGAATCTCCCAACTCACAGGTGCAACCCGGGTCGGATTGTGCAGAGCCTAGGGAAGGGGGAGGGGGAGCGGGGAGCCGGAAAGCAGCTGCTTCGCCCGCAGCACAGCAGGTGGAAAGTTGGGAGCATGTCGGGAGAACATCGAATCATGAAGCCGCGTACGACTGGAGGCTCAGACAGGGCAAGAAGACCTGGGGTGGGGGTGCAGAGGGAGAAGGGGATTCCCAGGTGAAGCCCCTCCCCTAGCTTTAAACTTTTTTCTCCTAGCCTCCACCTGCCCTACTACAGCAGAACAGGCCGTTGACTCACCCCGCTTCAGGATGGCACTGTGATGTGGTAGCCGGCCGCTGGCCTCCAGGGACGAACAATTCCAGCGCTGATCCCGTAGCTGGTGCTGGCACTCGTGGACCGCAATGTGCAGACCCTGTAGCGCAGACGCCGTCACGTCGGGGCTGCGCAGGCACAGGCCGAATTGACGCTTACTGAGACCAGGAAGCGTTAGGCACACGGTGTTGGGAGTGAGTGGAGGCTCCCCGGGAAGTTTCAGCCCCAGGATTTCATTGCTTAATGCTCTGGGGACATATAAAAGACTCGTTGGAGACTGGAAACCAGGGCTCAAATTGGTGGCCCCACTTTCCAACCAGACTCTGTGGTGACTTGAACACCCTAAGTTTTACGAGCATCCATCCATATTCCTCTCCCTTTTCCAGACAGGATTCGGGGCGGTGTAGGATCTGGTCAACCACTTACCTACTGCAAAGGAAGAGGAGCAGGAGCCCGGTGAGGCCTGAGGGCAGAGGCCATAACCGTGGCTCCTCCCTCATGTCCTGGCCAGGGCCTGATGGCTCCAGCAACAACTTCTTCAGTATCTGTGGGAATAAGAAGTAATACTGTAGCATGTCAGCCAGATCCCTGGCAGTCTAGAGATTGGGGAGGTCTGGTCCCTGGGTTTCTCCCTTCTTGATGATGGAGACTCAGATTCTAAGCTTAACCCAAGTCAGCTTCAGTAAAACCCCATAGATCCATACACCTTGGAGCTCAAGGACTAGACCTAGAAGCCCGGAGGGGCAGCAGCCCAGTTCCCTGCGGGAATGGAAGAGATCCTGGCCCCCAACACTTAAAGAACCTACAGACAGTTCACAGAGCTTTTCCCAGAGGAACAGAGGCACATAACAGACAAGTACAGAGACCAAAAGGCCCAAAACACATATTCACACTTGAACACAATTAGACTTAGGTCACTCACACACACACACACACACACACACACACACACACACACACACACACACACACCTTACACCCCCCCCCGTGACTTCTGATAGTGGCTCCCTCTTCCTGCAGCTCCGTGCCTCATATCTCACCGCGCCACAGAGTTCAGCGACCCTCCTCCCCCTTACTCAGGCTATGGCAATGGGCGGCGCCCTAAGTGGGTTCCATCGGACCAACGGGATAGAGTTGTGCTCTCGACCGCCACAGCCTTTAGGGTAACCCTAAGGACAGGATGGCTCCTACCTCTGCTACGTTTCAGTGAGAGAAGTTTAAGGGTAATGAGGCCAGAGGACACCCTTCCCCTACAGGCTTAGGGAATCCCCAGGCCCCAAACCTACACTCCACCCCAAACCACTAGGGAGAAATGGGGGCGGGATGGGGCGGGGGGAGAGTACAGGTGCTGTTGAAGGGGTAGGCTCCCTTCCACCTTAAACGGCCCTTGAATTTAGACACTCTGCTACCCGCGCCCCCAAACCCCTACAGGCACAATCATCAGCCTGGTCCCCAGGAATCCCAGTCTTGGATTCATTTCTCCACTCTTGTTTAATGCCTTCCTAGCCCACAAAGAAACTCAGATTTCTTTCTCTCGCTGTGTCTCCAGCTATCTCTTAATTTCCGTCTCTACTTCTGTCTGTCTGACTGCCTGTCTGTCCTATCCCAGTAGCCCAGAGTTCCCTGTTACCTCCAGTGACTTGCGTTTCGAGTTCTTGACTGGTGTGATTCTGCTCCCTGGCTCCCCTCCACTCCACTCGAGTTGCTCAAGCCGTGGGGAGGCTGGGTCAGGCTCTGCCCCCTCCGCGGGGCCGCATTCTTCCAGGGCCGGGCCACTCCTCTTCCTCGCTTCTCCAGCGCCGCAGCCGGGAGGGAGGGAGGGAGCTAGGGGCTCTGCCTCTGTTCGGGTTGCTGTCGGAGGCTGCTTTGCCGGGACTGAGTGAACTGCAGCTCCTCCCAGAGCCTTGGGCATCTCCACCCCTCGGTTGCCCCCCCCCGCCCAACACACCTCCACCTGACCCGGTGAGGCGCAGCAGCTCCTAGTTACCTCCTTTCCCGGCCCAGTTCAGCTCCCAGAACTCCCTCCACGCACTCCACCCCCCCCCAACACAGACGCACACACGCGCGCACACACAGCCACTCCTTCAATGCCCTAGTCTTGACTGACTGCCTAGACTCAGAAGGACTGAAAGGAGTTATGTCCAGCTGTCCCTTCACCTACTAGTCCCATGCTTTTCTTGCTGGAAGGGCGATAGAGTGGCTGCCAGTAGCAAGGACTTGTGTCGCTTTGCCTCATTTTCCCTCCCCCGGGAATAGAGTGAATAGGGACTCCCCTACAATAAGCCCCTCAGCGAAATGGGGGCGGAGCTGGGATTTGAGGTCTAAAGTTCGCATTTCGGTACTCACAGTACCCATCCACCCTTATCTAAGTACCTTGGCACTGTCTGATTCTTTGCGGCTTCAATCCAGCCCACCTGAGAGCAGGCATCATATAGAAGGGGACTCCCCTAAACCAGGATAGGTTTCCCCAGAGCAAGAGATAACTGCCCGCCAGGATCTGTCCAGAGAACTCGGGGCCCTACGAACTAAGCTTTCTTCGTGTCCTACTTCCTTTCTATACTTCAGCTATTCCTCCCTGTGGCTCTCCACGGCCCGCTAGCCCTGGATTTCCAACCGTCCCCTCATCCCCATTAAACCCCTCATCTGTGCAGACGTCACCTACGGCCTCGGTGGTTCTGGAGTAGCCTCTGAGTTTCAAATCTGACCTAGGTTGCTACAGGGAGATCTTGGGATCCCGACCCACCCAGACCCCAGGGGCCGGATCCTAGAGTTGCAGTGGCCTGGGTGGCGGAGGCGGAATAGGAGTCAGAGGCTACTGCCCTGGGACCGCCTAGTCTGAGAGCCAACGCAGCAGCGAAGGGGTTAGGCTCCCGCCTGACTCACTCTCCAAGCTTTAACCACCGCCGGCTATTTTTGCTTCAGAAGAGGGGCCCCGGCTTCCCAGCCGCCCCCGGCCCCTGCCAGACCGCAGCCCAGGGCCCCAACGGGCCCCGAGCTACAGCCTCTGGTTGACTCAGCTGCCAGGCAGCCAGGGGTGTTAGGTCTTGAGGCTGGTACCCGCCACCAATATCATCACTTCCGTGGCCACCTGCCCACTCTCTTCGCACCCCCCCTTCAGTGGAGCTCAACTGTTTTTTCGAGCTGTCCTTCTAGTGTATGGGGCCGGGGCTGGGGGGGACGTGATGGGAAGGTACCTCTTTGTGAATGGCATAAAGGAGAGTAGCCTTGCGTTAGGCGCCAGAACTAGAACTTGCACACTACAAAAACCTTTTCCATGAAGCCCACGAGACTCATTTCTATCCTACAGTCCTCTGTGCCACCAAAGGGTCTTCTCTGATGCTTCAAGATAACACCACTTTTCTGTGGTTCATCAGGGGGACCAGTATTTGTGAGTCTATACTGGGGAGGCTTTCAGACATCCCAGGTGACCAGGTACTGTGTTTTCCTCTTGCCTTGGGCTTTCTCTTCATCCAGTCCCGGCTGGGACAGGGTCCTTTTCTTTAGAGGAGACCACCATGTTTGAGGAAGCTGTGGGTGAAACCTTGGAAAAAATTTATCAATCATCTTTGACACATGGGAGGAAGAAAACAGGCATTTATTAAGTACCTATTATGGTGCTGTGTTAAACACTTTACAAATATCCCATTTGATCCCCAGAACAATCCTGAAGGTAGGTGCTATTATTATCCCCATTTTGCAATTTAGCGCATTGAGGCAAACAGAGGTTAAGTGACTTGTTCAGGGTCACACATTTAATAAGCATGTATTATGTGCTTTGCTTAGCTCTAGAGATACCAAAAGCAAGCAAACAATGAAACAATCCTTGCCTTTAAGGAGCTTACATTCTAAAGGCAAAGGCAATAGGTAAATGGAGGGAAAATAGTTTTGGAAGAGAGGGTGCTAGCTGCTAGGAGGATGGGTAAAGGATTTTAGTAGAAGGTGATGCTTGGAGGAAATGTGGAATTACAAGAAGTAGAGGTGAGGAGGGAGTGCATTCAGGCAAGGAGAAAAACCAGTGCAAAAGGAGGAAGGAGGGAAATGGAATATCATGTGTAACCAACAGCAAGTAAGCCAATATGGCTGGGTGGAAGAGTTTGTGGAAGGGAATAACGTGTAATAAGACCGGAAAGGTAAGATGTTGTGAAGAGTTTTAAGTGCCAAGCAGGTGAGTGAATATTTGATCCTAGAAGTAATAAAGAACAACTGGAATTTTTTGATTTTTTTTTTTTGGTGAGTCAATTGGGGTTAAGAGACTTGCCCAGAGTCACACAGCTAGTGTTATATGTCTGAGGCCAGATTTGAACTCAGGTCCCTTCTGCCTCCAGAGCTTGTGCTCTATCTACTGCGCCACCCAGCTGACCCAACAACTGGAATTTTTAAGGAGGAAAGGGTGACCTGCTCAGAGCTGTGCTTTAGGGAAATCACTTCTGGCTGTTTGGATGGTCAATTAGAGTGGGGGAGGCTCGAGACTATTGCAATCGTCCAGGCAGAGGTGGTAAGTACGGCTGTTGTAAGAGTGGCATGGAAAGGGATGTATTAAGAGATATTGTAGAGATAGTGATGACAAAATTTGGCTACTGATTGGATAGGTAGGAAGAGTGAGTGAGGACTGAGAGAGATGGGGAGGTTTTGAAACTGGTGGTGCCTTTAACAGTAATAGGAAAGTTCAGAAGAATGGTCAGTTGAGGGTCTAGGGAAATTAATGAGCTTTGCTTTGGAAATGTCGAGTTTGAGATACCTTGGGTACAAATACTTTGAAATGTCAAAATAGGCAGTTGGTGATGTAAGTCTGGAGCTCAGGAGAGAGACTAGGGCTGGATATTTGGGAGTCATCTGCTTAAAGATGATAACTGAACCCATGAAAGCTGATGAGTTTGCCAAGTGAGAGGGTGCAGAGAAAAAAATTCAGAAGAAACAGAACTTTGACAGTACACTCAGAGTTAGTGGGCATGACATGGATGAGGAACCAGCAAAAGCCAGATTGGAGAAGAACTAAAAGAAAGCAGTGTCTACTTCTTTTTACTCTCTCCTAATCACTGTAAGTTTCTCTGTTTAGATAGTTTAGTGTCACTGTCTCTTAAAATTAAAAAATAAATTGGATAAGTACTGGCTTTATATGTTCATTGATATAGGGAACTCCCAGATGAAGAAACTCCCTCTTTCAATGCAGTTCAGCACATTCTCTGCAATCGTGACTGAGTCTTAGAGTGATTTTAGTTCACTGATAAGTCAACTAAATATGAGAGAGGCCGTACTTGAACCAAAATCTTTTAGCTACAAGGCCAGTTTTCTATCCACCACACCACATTGCCTTTCCATTTTTAAAAGAGCATATGTATATGCACATATTATACACATATAAATCTCTGTATTTGGGCAGTGGTCTGCTTTCCCGTGTGTTATCTTATCTGATTCTCACAATAACCCCTTAAATAAGCTGTGGGATTATTACTATCTCTATTGTACAGATGAATAAATGGAATGATTTGTCAAAAGTCTCACGTCAAGTAAGTACGGGAGCTAGGACTAGATTCCAATTCTTATCCCCCAAAATACACCCGAGGTCAAATATTGTCTTTTATCCTTCCTCCCCTCCTTTCTCTCTCTATCCCTACTGTCAATTTTAGGATTTTCTGCTGCTAATGGTCCCAGAGTTCTGGTGCTCAGCTTGACTCTAGATTAAACTCCGGGTAGTAGACAGTGGTATAGGCTGGGTGGCCTGAGAATGACCCACAGTGCCCTCACCATGACCAGTTGGCTGGAGCCTGCAGGGTGGAGTTGGAGCGGGGCTGAGGACCCACACCCATTGTCTAACACCCCAAACATGCAGTCCCACTCGACTAGAACTTGGGAAGTGGGAAAGAAGGGGGGAATCAGGGATACCCCAACCTCAGGCTATATACGGGTAAAAAGGGTGGAGTGAAGGAGAGGTGGCTAAAGTT